TTCCCCTACAAACCAGTGAATGATCTTTAAATAGTTCTAATTCTAAAATTCTAGAACTGAATAAATTCTACTTTGTTTTTTACTCCATAATTATTCTGTGTAGTGTGACTTTTCTCACCCTTTAAATTCTAAGTTCCTATAGAATCTCAATTTTTTTTTTATTGTTTTCTCACTCTTCCATGGTACCTAGCTTGGAGCTCTGCATACTGTATAGGCTTATGAGAGGTATATATGTAGATCGAGATGTGTCTAAGGAGAAATACCCATCTTCACAAGAAGCTGTACTTATTGTCATGTGTTACCTTCTTTTGGGGATGACATTCAGATGTAATTTAGGGCTGCCTAAGAGAAATCAGCACTCAGCACCTTTGGAAATTTTTCTGTAGTGAGAGGTTAGTTTCTTATCCTTAAAGCAGAGCTGTGGTCACTGCCTAAGCATCTACTCCTGTGACTGAATGCAGAAATGTTTCTTTTATGAAAATTGTGCTATGTGCCTGTAAAAGGGTGTTGGGCTGTAGATAATGCCAGATACAGTAGGGAGTTTCTACAGGGAACCAGTTTTTATTCTGTTCCCTATCTTTATAAAGCAATCAGGAAATCACAAATCATTTTATAGCTTTTCTGAATCTTTGAGGAATCACTTTTTAGAAAATGAAGTTTTAAAAAAAAAAAAGGAACTAATGCTCCCTTCGGAAGCACATATACAAAAATTGGAATGATGCAGAGATTAGTGTGGCCCCTGAGCAAGGATGACATACAAATTCATGAAGCATTCCATAAAAAAAAAAAGGAACTAGAATTTTGCCCAAACGTGTGAAGAATGACTTACACGCAATGCAACTATATCTGAAACTCTGACTTTATAGTTCAGTTTTGAGAAGAAAGCTACCTTAAATACAGCTCAAATGAGAGAATTAAGCCAAAAGGCATGTGAAAAAAAAAATTTAAAAGTAGCTATTTTTAGCTACTAGTTTATATTCTGGGAGAATGGCAAAATTTACTTCTGGGGTAAAAGGAACTTTTGTTTGAGGGAAAAAAAAGATGTGCCTTTGGGGTTGGGAGTTAGTGCATGTGGGGGAGGGTTTGAAAACAAGAATTACATTGCTTGGAATAATAAAATTACAGAGATCTAGACCTGAAGAACTCAGAAAAGAAGTGGAGAAGGAAATCTAAGCAAAATGGCACGAGGCAGAGCCTGAGGAGAAAATACAGGGAGAAATTCCCTATGTTGAAAATGGCCAAAGAACTTTTGGATGCTTATATTTCTTGTCCTGTGCTATAATATTATCCCCAGACTTTCAATATAATAGTCTGTTATAAACAACCTCTTGTATATGTGGTACTAGGGGAATTAATGAGGAGAGGACAGTCGTCACAAGTAGGATGAACTGGGGCAAAGAGAACATAGTAACCACAAGAGAGACAAAAACAAGAATTTAGAGTAAGAGATGGTCAAGATTTCCTTTTTGACCTTGGGGAATCATACCTGCATATTAAAGGATTGGAAGCCTGGATGTTTGAGGTTATTCTAGACCACACATGGAGGGGTAAAGCCTGATCACTGAGCAACGGGAAAAACCCTAAACTGTCCAGGGTCAGCATGGATCAGTCCACATGCTCGTGGTTCCATTTTCTTTAAGGACTTGGATAGAGTGTATCTATACAGAAAATTGGAGATCGATATTAAGAATTATTCATCTGACTAGAGAAACTACATATTTAAAAACAAAACAGAACAGAACTGTGTGACCTGTTCATATACAGATCTGTGCATTTCTTAGTAACTGTCACCATGGTAGCAAGGCAGTAGACAGGGGTGCCTTCTTAGCACAGTACATATAAAGGAGAGAGATAACAGCTAATCAGGTACTGTCTTATATCTTTCTTTACTTAACATGTTGATCCTATATTGCTATTAGCCTCAGACACTTTTCTCCCTAATAGCATCAAGCACAGTGTTAGGACTATATTACAATATTAGGAACTCAAATATATATGCTGATTGACTGAATTAAATAAATGGTGTTTCCGCTATGTCTCCTTTCCAAGCTATAGTCACCTGGCAGACATTTGATTTAAAAAATGGCTCCTACCTTTGTCTAGGAGATCAAAACTAGGCCATTTTCCTGATTGGGCTGGCCCAACGTGCTTTTCAGGTTGAGGGGTTGAAAGGACAGCAGTTAGGTACTCCGAGATGTTATATTATTAGAAGACTAACATGTGAGTGGTAATAGAAAAATAAGTGAGTTCATTTTCATCAGTGAGGCTATTCAAGGACAGGAAGCTTTGTATAAGGACTTGCAATGCTGCTTTCTGGGTGCAAAGACAGGTTCGGCAACAGTTTCTGAAGTGTTTGATGTCAAGCTGGAGTTAAAACCCTGCGGACAGGAAGTTCACGGATTCAGGCTTCAAAGTGAGATAGCTTTTTAAGCCCCTACCCCAACCTTATACAGAATTAACACTCAGCTTAGGAAGGCTACTTATAACTCCTCGAATTAATGATAATCTTTTATTATAGCCTTTTTCCTAATATATTCTTACATTTCATTTTAATTGTCATCTATATAATTACTCTGCATGCCAATTACTTCCACTTCTATTTTGTAATGTTTTATTATTTCATATTTCTTTTTCAAAGTGTTTAAATGTAGACACATCCTCTTTATTTTAATAGCCAGCATGACCATATTTGCCACTTTAAAATATGGATTCCTATAGTTTCAACAGATCCTCAAAGTGTGCTACCTCCAGCTCATAGATTTTAGTATTCTAATCGTGTCCAATGCTGAAAACAGCTGCAAGAATTTGTCCTTGGAATTCTTTAGCAGTAGCTTCCAGTTGATAAAGCCCAAATTTGGCCAGTCTAATGGATCAGCCACTGGAACATGATTATCATCCTATCACTCTCACTGGGACGAACTGAGCAGAACCAGCCTCTTGTGGAACAAACTGCAGAAGTCACTATTCCTAAAGGGAGCAGGTTACATCTTTCCAAACCTAGTAAGGAATTTGACCTAGTTCCTTGAAACTAGGGTATAACTGGAAAGTATAATTGGTCGCAAATGTGTTTTTTCTTCCTCAAAATTACTTTTGAACCCCAGTGAGACAGACCAGGCATCTCTCTTCACATGGATTCAGACCACCACCATTCATAAACTTGACTAATTCAATATGAAACTTGGGGAGCAGACAAATAATGTGACTTCATTTTATCAAAAGAATGTTTAGGTCTATGTTACAAAAGTCTATGAATACACAGATGATGTGGTTATAGCAGTCAATTCTCCTCTGTATATTTTTGCCACTGTGTTTAGCATAATACCAGGTGCTCAGTGAATGTTTGTTGAATGAGTGAATGAATATGAAAAGGTCCTCACAATTTGATTCCTACCTACTTCTCCAGTTGTATTTCTTACTGCTTCACCTTCAAAAAAAACCTATAATTTATTGTCTGGCAAAATAGCACCTCAGTTTTCTAAAAACTTCTCCTGCTTTCCCACTTCTATACCTTTGCTGTTGCCATACCAACTGCCTGGAATACTCTTCTCTCATAACTATGAAAATGTTACTATTTCCTTATCTCAAATGGTACTTCATGAAAATTTTACTAATTATCTCAGTAGGATATTAGCCTTTACACCTTCTAACTCATAAAAATTTGAACATCTCATTTATTAACTACCTTATAATTATTTTTGTGGTTAACTTACTCTCCTTGTCATATAGTATACACACACACACACGCACACACACACACACACACACACACATATAGTAAGCTTCTTGAAAATAGACACTGGGTCTTATTAATCTATACAGTGACTAACATAGTTGATGCTCAATAATTGCTGAAATAATTACAGTAATCGGTTTTGCTAATGCTATACTATGAACCCCAGCAAATTTTTATCATTTTTCCTAAAATCTAAAAGTTGTTCTCATATATGAACATTATTCAAACTCCAGAATTAGATTCAAATTGTACCTTTGTCAACATTTTCTTTCTTGTTAATTCTGTAGGAGATTAGAGCAGTCATTAAGTGTCTTCCTTTGTGTTTTAAATGATCATGGACTTGTTTGGTTCTTTTAGTGACATGATTAGCATCATTACAATTTATATCTTATGCTCTTCAAAGAAAATCTTTTGAGTATTTTTTCCTTAAGTATGTATGTATTATTAAATTCTTAACTCCTCTAATCATTGCTGCCATCTTGCCTGCTTGCTAAAAGGTGGCATTTCTATCCATTCATCTATTTACATGTGAGGTAGAGGTCTTCATGGAGACCCTTGAGGCTGTGCTTCTACATATTATTAAACATTTTTTGTCTGCAGATGACCTCTTCTTGACACATAATGATAAAACCGAAGATTCTCTTCCTTTTTTTTTTTTTTTTAATTAACTATCACCACCTGCTAGACATAGAGAGGAGATGGAGCACAAATTATCCCAGAATTGATCCTGGAAATGAATTGGGAAACTTCCCTCTTGAAAGCAGAAACACTGCTATGTGCTTTAATTCCTCAAATTTCTAGCCCTCCTGAGGAAGGTTTGTAATATTTGGGAGATTCTAAGGATTTAAGATAAAAGATACAAAGAGGCGGATAAAATTTTCCTTTACAAAATTTGTGATAATCTTTATTCTGACCATTGTATGGGCAGTAGTCCTGGATTACAACTTTCCAAGTCTCTTAAAAGCATGATTCCTAAAATAAATTCTCCTCCATTCAAGCCCTCACCAGTTTTTATTTTAAATAAAGTTCTCTCTTAATCATTCTCCTTCTCT